TTATATTTTGTAAGAAAATAACATTTTTATTCGTTTTGATAAGTGATAAATTGCACTACGCAGTAATATATCTGAATAATAGTAGTCGACACGATTTTGGATTACTACAATCTGTGGTTGTAATAGATACTGTTATCATAAATCAACTGTAAACAGATATTATCTGTGATAATTGTTTTATCTTAGAATAACAATGTTTTATTGTATTTCATAATATAGATATTGCCTCTTGGATTACATTTCCTCTACGATATTTTCGAGTCCCAAGGAAAGGTTTCGACAGATTTTCAAATATTTGTTCACGATACGATAATTTTAGTTTCTAAGAGAAACGCATAGAGTACATCTAGAAAAGAGCGTACTACTTCTTAAAAGGCTGGCAACGCACATTCGAGCCTTCTATTTATTGTTTGAAAGTTCTTAAATTAAATTTTCACCGATCTGGTTACTTTTTAAATTATCAAGTTCTTTGTTGTCTAATATAGTTTCCTAATTGTTGTTTTAGAACTTTAGATGCCTAGAAGGCATAGTACTAGAAGATTACATACCTTAATTATGGGACTATACGAAAATACTGAAAGATGTTTTATCTTTTATTTGTATAATCACGGCCCCTCCTTATTTTTCTATATAAAACTATATTCCGTTATCTATTAAATTTTACATATAATTGGTATAGGTATCGCGATTGGCTTACGTAAATTTTAGACAGTTTGGAAGTGTGCCGATAGATGTCGCTATATTCAATATCTTAATTTTATTTATTGACAGATTTACAACTTATAACTAACTTACGTTCTTACTAAATATAAATTTATTTTTGATTCAATAAAAAAATCTTTATATATTAAGTACTTAATAATTAGATGAATGGATAAAAATAAAATCATTTTAATCCAGGCTAACTGGACTATCAAAGAAAACAATAAACTAACTAAAATTAATTGAGGAACACTTAGGGTAGTAACCTTATGATACGTTAATTTTAAGCCTTGTTAAATAAATTACACTTTAGAATATAATTATAGATTTTGTAATAATGATTTAGTTTTCTTTGATACCTACCATATACCGTGATAGAACGTGTTAATTTTTTATAAAAAATCTTAAGTTTTCGCGTAACCACCAGGAGGCGCCACAGTGCGTTAATCGTACAGCATGCTACTATATACAAATCTTTGTCGCAGACGTATTTCTCGTTATAGCTAAATACTTTGTCAATAACAGTTTAAAAAAATATTTTTATAATCTATTTTTACTCGAAATACTGAAATAGAATTGTCTATCAATTTTTAAAAACAATTCTCAAATCGTGATGAACTAATTCGCAACCAATTATGTCTTGGGTGTAAAATTAAATTTAGTTTTCGAAGGTTTTGCTTACCGCCCACATTGATTTAGTGATTTATAATAACGAAAATGTGACTTTATGTGTCGTATGTTATTAAAGGAACGGAAAGTTGTGATTTTATGTGTTACCATATTTGATACAGGTAAGAACAATACGTAAAAGTGTTTTTTGAAGTGAAACTTCTTTATCGAGGTTGGAAAAAAATTTAGTTTAACATTTTTTCGTTACGCGTCACATTTTTCGGTTACGCGTCACATTTTTCGGTTACGCGCCATGTTGCTTTTTGAAGTCAAACTTCATTATCGGCGTTGGAATGAAACTTCTTTATCGACGTATGGGAGAAATTTTGTAGCAAATCGTCACGTTTTTCAATGATAGTAATAATTCTATTACAATTAATGAAATTCTTTAATAATCTTCGTAGTAATAAGGTAAAATGAAATATTTGTATTCATGTCTATGATAATAAAAGCCTTTTGTTAAACTTTATCTAATTTAACGAATTTCTGTAAAGTTGCATATAGTAGATCATTTTTCGAAAAACAAGATCATAAAGAAGTTTCACTTCTTACGTGTGTACACCTAGTACACGCACAATTTATTTTATTTATCTTCACGCCTTTTTTCCGAAGGAGTAGGCAGTGACCACGGATCTTCACATGCTATATTCCTGACATACCTGGCTTCAGCCACTTTCATGACATCCTCATCGGTTATGGGTACTTTTAACTTATTCTTTATCTAGTACATCCTGGATTTGGTCTAGGTATGTACGACAAGCTTACACAACCCGACTCACCAGCCATGTATACATAACCTTATAAAAGTTTAATTTACCAATAATTTATCTACTAAGGTAAAATTTGAGCATTCTCTGGACCCAACCGATTTGTCGCAGTGCAAAATATCGTTAAAACAGCTGATATTCAAAGTATTATCTATTTTATAGTTTTAAGTGAATATCTTGTATTAGTGAACAAAATGAAGTTACAATCAACATGCCTAAATATAAAATCTTATAACCGCCGAAAAAGATTCATGTCTCATGATAAATGTTATTATTCGATTGAATGTTGTTTCATATACGATAAAAGCTGTTCTTATGTACAATAGGTAGCGTATTTATAACATAAATGTCTTAAATTTTATTCTTAAGTACGTACATAAGGCTGATATTTATTCTATATCTTTTAAACAGATGCAGAAATGTGTCTGCCCCAACACCTCATTGTTACAATTTTACAATGCTTGCGTAATTTTTGTTCATATTCTCAATGAATTTTTTTTATTAACCTATGTAACAAATTTTACGATTATTTAAATGATCCTAATCCTTGGGATGATGACTCAAATCTTGGCGATTAAAAAGGATGGCGGAGAGTTTTTTGCCCGTTCTTCTTGCCCGCTCTATGCCTTGCGAACTGGTAGTAAATGTAAAATTAGAATCAATTTCACAAATTTTCTGTTGACGTTCTTAATTGTACTTGATTAACTATGAATAAAGTTATTTTGAGTATGAGTTAAGTTAAATAAGATATTAAGTTAGATTTACATAGAAAAGGTTTCTTGTAATGTAATAAAACCCTTCCAAATATTCTTAGACCTTAATTGATCCCACATCGAAGGTTACATTAATTTACGTTCATGTCACTGACACCAATTTAGTCTTATTTGAACTTTACAGTAGGCGACGTCTCAAGACTTTGAATTGTGCCTAATGTGTACGATTTTAGCATATAAATACAAGGTATTAAGAACTATAATTCTATGGTAATAATAATCTTACGGAAAGTTTGAGAATACAAGCAATAATGTAGTATAATGATAAAGTGTCGGATGTTAATAACGTATATGAAATACAGTAGCGCTAATATCAACTAAGAGCTCTAATATATAATTATTTTGCAAATAGGCAGTGATTAACATGAATTCAAATTCAAATTCAAAAATCATTTATTCACGTAGGTAACTCAATATACACTTGTGATTCGTCAGTGAAGAAATATATTAATGCTTCTAATTTTATATTTACTGCCAGTTCTCAAATCAAGGGCGTAGAACGGAAGAGAAGAACTGGCAATAAACTCTCCGCCACTCTTTTTAATCGCCATGTTTTTTTTTACACAACGTCTGTAAGGAGCTGCAACCATTACACCATGTTCCACATCACATCTTAAGTAATTAATAATAATAACATAAATTAAAAACAAAGACTAATTGTCCTTGATAAATCAGCAGGAGGCATGGTGAAATAGGAGCATGCACTTACATTCTCGTGGGAACAACACGCAAACACATATTATAATATTTAGTTACCCAGTTAAAAACTGTTATAGATTTTTATATTATCATGGATATTTTCAAAATTCTTTGTAGTGATTTATTATCAACTAAATGTAATTAAAGTTATAAGAGATTTGTCATGGTGAATCGGCCAAGGAATACAGACTAATATTATTATTATTATTAAGCCTTTATTGCTGACTCCCCGGAATTATATTAAAAAACAATTGTTTTAGTTACATAACCTAACTTAATCTAATACATCATATGAGCTGGTTTTGGTAATCAGCGTGTCTTGTGTCACATAGGCCTCTTCCAGTTGCTTCGATTATTTTATAATGTTAGCTGTTATTGTCCAAGTTGTGCCTCCTATTCTCTTTATATCGTCTGCCCATCTCTTGCTTTGTCTTCCTCTTTTCCTTTTTCCATGTCGTGGTTTTCATCTGTTTTTTTTTTCCATTTCAATCTGCTCTCTCGTCGTATGCCCGGTCCTGCGCCATTTCAATTACTACTCAATTGAGTTCTAGTCTAGTAAAAAATATATCATATTCCTAAGAAATTAAAATTCAAAGAAAACAGAAACAAATCAATATTTTTAAAGCAAAATAGTAACACTATATTTTTTTATATTATATTTTAGAAATTGTATGTTTAGTGTTTACCCCACGCTTGATATTAAATTGTACAATATTGTTATGAATAAAATAGACTCCATAAGCATATGTTATTTTACATACACTTTGAGTTATGAAAATATATTATAACTAGATTGTGTGTGTCACAAAAGGATTTAAATATGTTAAAAGGCACTAAAATAATTTTTAGTAGAGAAAATGAAAGTTTTTATTCGTCGTTGCAAGGGTCACCTATTCATGCGTGGTCTCTTCTATGGCATTGGACTCTTCAATGGACTTTAGGTTCAATAAAGCGAATCACCCGATTATAGTTATTGGGAATAAAAAAAATAATCATTAAAGCTTTTTAAAAATTTGACGATTATTTAAATGGTCCTAATCCTTGGGATTTATTTGCTCCAATTCAAATATTTATGGCTTAAAATTTGTATGACAAGATTGGCTAACAACTTGGCGAGTAAAAAGAGTGGCGAAGAGTTTCTTGCCAGTTCTTCTTGACTGCTCTACGCCCTCGACTAGTAGTAAATGTAAATTTAGAATCAATTTCACATATTTTCTGTTGACGTTCATAAGTGTACTTGTGTTATTAAAAAAAAAGAAAGTCCCAATCCCAAAAAATTAATTGTTTCACAAAAAACCAGCTACAAACAATAAGTCTACTATTTTTTCTTAAAAGACAGTAGGACACTCGCCGTCGATTTTTAGGTGTAAGACATTCCGGTTTCTATACGATGTTTTTCAAGCCCATTGGTGCACTTTACGTACGTACGTTAGCCGTGGTCCGAAATAACTTTAGGGTTGAGAGGAGCATTAGTCCAACACTGCTGTTCCGCGAAACGGTGGGAGAACATCGCAAGAACAACTTTGTATCACCAAATAATTTACGTAAGTCAAAATAAATTGGAAGAATGTGAATCACATCGTTATCACGATGCATCACCTATGTGACGTTAAGTATTCATTCTTCACAATCAATATTGATATATTGGCTTACCAGGAGGTAAGGAGCTGATAAAGTGCGTAATGAGCATGACATACTACCGTGATTTTGTCATTTTAAATCGAGATAATAATTTCATATTCATTGCTTGTTCGTGGCTAATTATAACAATACAGATGTGTTCATTTCTTATAAGTTATACTATCGAAGATGGGGAGCTATTTTTGGTCAGTAGGATAGACTCTTCGCTGGAATGCGACCTATTTGTGAATGGTCTGTAGGTAGAATAAAATGAATTAGTGACGCTACAATCTTTTTAGGTCTAGGTCTCTGATTTCTGTATCTGTTTCATGACCATTTGTCAATCTAATAGGCAAGTAGATGATCAGCCTCCTGTGGCCTGACACCGTCGACTTTTTGGGTCTAAGGCAAGTCGGTTTCCTAATGATGTTTTCTTTCAACGTTCGAGCAAATGTAAAATGCGCACATAGAAAGAAAGTCCATTGGTGCACAGCCAGGGATCGAACATACGACCTCAGGGATGAGAGTTGCACACTGAAGCCACTTAAGCCAACACTGCTCTCTATGGGGGTAGTATACTGTGTTTTAGCACTTAAATCTTTTGTACACAAATTCACTTATTCAAATCGCTTTTACGAGAACCGGAACGAGTAACGTAGGCTATATTTATTTCCAAAATACTCTAAAGAATAAAACCAGCCGCGAGAAGCCAATCTAGGCTGATAAAGAACTGTGCAACTTAGCTATTTAATAGCATAGAACAGTATTAGCATTACATTACATCAATGATGAATTGATTTAAATATTGAATGGCTTAAGTAATTAATGAATGATCAATCAGCTATTCTATTATTACCTTGTTACATAATTTTTTCTCAGCCGCATAGGGTTATTGACTTCAATTGTTGTTAATTGTGTAATATACAATTAAACTTTACACAATTTATTCTAGATAAAAATCATTTACAACCCTTCTTCTATTAGTATTACACGTGTTGATTTATAAATATGGACTATTGGATTGAGATCATTCAAGGTAATTTATTAAAAAACTAAAATGTACCGTGGGAAATTTGAAGGTTCGGGGTCGAAACGTGGTTAAACTTTTTCGTATTGTACAATGCATTTTATTACAATAATAAAGTAACTAATTCTGATTATTTTTTTTTACAGATGAAGCCTATATGAAACTCGCTTTGGAGACAGTGGAAGAACTCGACTGGTGTCTGGACCAGCTGGAGACGATACAAACACACCGCTCCGTTTCTGATATGGCATCACTTAAGGTACGCATTATTTTCATTTACAATTGCCTGTCGTTACGTCTAAGCGGTAATAAACAGTCCTTTTATTGTTAACGCATTATGACGTTATAGTTTAGAAAACCATTAAATACTTTTCGGAATAATAATATTGTACGATGAAGCTTCCATACAATGATGAAGAACACCAGAAGTTACAGGCCAGCAATTAAAACATGACTTTGTGTTGACCTGTGTTTGTAGTAAGGTGTTAAATATCTTATCTGAAATTACATATTTGATTGGTTTTATTCCGGGATTGCAAATTTATTATACAATTCTAGATTGTATTAAAAATTTTGGTAGTTAATTTTACGTAAAACTGAAGACATCTTGTGTACCGAAGCTTGTTAATGGCATCTTACACAATATCTAATATATAAAATTCTCGTGTCGCGGTGTTTGTGGTTAAACTCCTCCGAAACGGCTTGACCGATTCTCATGAAATTTTGTGTGCATATTGGGTATAACTGAGAATCGGACAACATCTATTTTTCATCCCCCTAAATGTTAAGGGTAGTCCACCCCTAATTTTTTTTTTAATTTTTAGATAAATTATTTTATTTTTATTTTTTTATGATACAACATTAAAAAATACATAAAACGCCTAATTTTCACCCCTCTACGATCAACCCCTATTTTTTATTATAAATGATAAACATGGAAAAACGACGTTTACCGGATAAGCTAGTAATCTCTATAAAATTTACTCTTTATGTAAAACGAATTTTTCAGGGTAAAATATTTTTTACGGGTTATTTTAATCTTAAATTGCTACTATTAATTTGGTAAAATTTCAAGAGTTATACCTCTATAAATATCTCATTAATCCGTCTGCAATTTGTTGCATAATACAATGTTGAGGAATTTATTCCAACATTCATTACTTCGAAAACAAAATAAAATTTATTGGTTCGCAATTGTTTTCATAGATTATGCATATTACATATTTACAGAATATGAATCACAGTTATATTAAAATTAATTATTGCAATAATATGCATTTGTCGCATCGTGATAGATGGATGATGTGATCGTGTTTACATTTGAAAGAAAATGTGCTGTTTTTTAGCAATATATCTTAATGAATCGGAACTTTAAAAATCAGTGGCGTTACAGCCTTTTAGTTCTGGGCCTTCTGTGTTTGTTCTGTGATCTTTCTTGATAGGAGATCCTTCTGTGAATTTGTCAATCACAGAAGGATCGCCTTCGGCAGTTGACTTTTTGGTGTCAGATTCCCCACGATAATGTTCTTCGCCATATGGGCGAGTATTAAATGCTCGCTTAGTAGAACAAATGCTGCACAGCCGTTATTCGAAAACGTTACCTCAAGGTTGAGAGGTTACCTCAGGAATTAAAAAAATACTTTCTGTGGAACAATTAAATGACATTTCTATAATTGTAACTTATGTACCTATATATATTTTTATATATCTAGTATTTGTCATGTTTCCGTATTGATAAATAAATATTTAAAGATGGTTTAGGTAAATTGGAAACCTTTTCCAAATTATCAAAAGTCAGTTCTTTCATTACATCTTGTTAAAGAAAAAGGAACTAGCGTTTAAGATACAGGCTAGGCCTAGTTTAAACGCTAGTGCTCATTGAATTATTTTATGTACGAGGTTAACCAAAATTAATAGTGGGGACAAAACGATTCGTTGCAGATTGTATGTTTATAACCTTTAGAATGTAATTGTTTTTGCGTCAAATAAAATGATTTTTTATTTTTATCATTATCTTGACGTCATATAACAATACACTTAATGTCAATCATTTTGAAATGAAGAGTATTGTTATTCGTAGCTCCAGCGTATATAAACAACTTTATTTACAACAACAGATACCAGAACGCAATTCGTCCATGTTCTCGCTGCCAAATTCCAATGATCTCGATAAACATTTATCTCGTGTTTATATTTTTCTGACATTAACATTCCTTAGCCTAAGCAATTGTTGTTGAAGGATGTACTCGACTGTCGAAAAATGGTTTTCATTCTTTTTGTTCCTGGAAAATTGGCTAATTTGCTATTCAGGTTAAAATACACGGTTCAAAAAAATCGAAATTCAAAATCTTTTATTCATTTAGGTAATATTTAGGTGTACACTTATGAACGTCAATAAAGATATACATATTAAATGCTACTAATTTTATATTTACTGCCAGTTCTCAAATCAAGGGCGAAGAACGGACGAGAAGAACTGTCAAAAAACTCTCCTGCACTCTTTTTAATCGCCAAGATTTTGTTTTTACACAATGTTTGCAACTATTATACCATGTTCCACATGACATGATTGCTTATTTCACACCCTTTAGACGATATTTCTAAAATTCATGACAATTACGATGAAGATTTACAAAAAATAATAAAAATGCTTCTTTAAATAAAAACAAAATGGAGAAGAAACTTTTTACTACAAATTTTAGTTTTTATCTAGTATTTAAATGAGTGCATAGTTCTCCTAATACGGTTATTATATATAATTAGGTACCCAATGGGCGCAAAATTTTTTTTTAATCGATCAGCCCACTTCCGAATATATCAAAGCTCTAAGTAGCGTTCATTCTATTCGCGGAGAATTTGAATGAGAGGTGCCTGGGAGCTTGGTTTTTACAACCGGAATTTGGAAGATTTTGAACTTTTTTTTTTATTGATACGGCGTCTCTTACATACCTAATGATTTCGTATCGGAATCGTGAGAATAACTAATTCAATGCTTCGTTCTTCTTTAGTAACACGTCAGACTGGTCACCAGTTCACTGCTATCCAAACCGACATTTTTTCCATATAGAATATCAATTCACAACAGGGTATTACAGATTTTGTATACGCTTGAATTAATATATTGAACAACTAGCGGACCCGACAGACGTTGTCCTGAATGATATTTCAAGCGATTAGTATAATAAACAAAGTATAATAGTACCGACTGCAGCGCCATCTGCTGGGCTAATTTGTGAATCTAAACCATCCAGGGCGTCACCCAAACGCAAACAAAAAAAGGAGCCCAGCCGTTTAAGAGGAGTTCACTGACATACACACGTTCAGTAGAATTATCTATATATATAAAAGAAAAAGGGTCTTCGTTTGAGGCTCCTTCACGCCTAAACCACTGATCGTATCGACATGAAACTACTGCCGTTCGATGCGAAATTTTTCCTAGATGGTTTATGGCTATTTATTTTTTAAATTTCAACGTTCCTTCATTTTTTTATTGCTGTTTTACTTTTATGAAAATTTATCCATACGGACTTCACCGCGGAAACATTCGGGGAGGCTTCCTAGAACCTCTAAACGTCAACATCTGTTAAAAACTCGATTTTCGAAATATTTCAATTTTCTTAGCGGGAAGTTAAAAAGAAGAATAATAAAAATATGAAAAAAAATAAAATAATGAAACATAAAATTTATTTTAATTCGTCCAGCAAAGCGGGCGCGAAACGGCTAGTATATATATAAAGATAATTTATACGTCTACATATTAGCTCATACAGTTTCTTCTTGTCTCCCTTTCTAAAAGTTTTTTAATGTAGTGTGCTGATCTAGTTATAAGTATAGTCCGTACCAAGGGAAATAGGAATTCTCTTTTATATATATAGATGAACTTTCTTCTGTTGTTATCTAGAAAGTAATCGAAATTATTTGCCATATTATACATTTGCGTAAATACAAACAAGGTTATTTTTATAAAATAGCATACATTAGATCAATAAATAATATTAATTATGATAAAGGCAAAGTTGCAAGTGCGTTATAAAATAATGTTCTGGCCCTCAAATATTCAATTAATACAATTAAACTCGTCTCCCTTCGTGTTTCTCTGAAATAAAATGCTTTCATAGAACAATAGATTGAATTGCCTTTGTTTAAGCAACGGATTAAATGTAATTGGTTACGAATGCGGCTTAAGATAAATAGAGCCTATTTGCTTTGTACACAAGCCGTGGAAAATTCCAAGATACGTTCATGACATTCAGTTATATTTTGAGAAGCAATTGTAGCCTCGCTGATATGCAAATATTGGAGTAAATCACGTTTTAGTATAAAGTCAATTTTGTATCGTGTATATCAGAGGCCGATAAAAATCGGTCTAATTATTATATATATATATTATACTAGAAGCAGAATTTGCTTGATTATTTAATACAAATCACGCTGGATACCTATTTTTCTTCAATAACAATGAAAGGCATAATAATTAGATTATCAAATAATTATATTCATGCCTGCTGCATTTGCATAATTGAGTCAAGGATTTTTATAAATCACAAGCATTTTTTACAAATTATACTCAGTACTATAGCAAAATAAAATTAAGATTATTGATTAATAAGGTTGTTTACCTGAAAGAGAACAATAATTTCGTTAGGTCATACGATATCTTAATATACACATAAAGTTTATGGTTGTCTATTGACAAATCTACGGATGGTATAGAGTTTTTGATTGGATTATTAAATACTATCATTCCTTATGTTACGTACATTATTTTTTTTAGATTAGGATAGAAATTATTCATATTTTTGTAACACGTTATTGTGTTGTATATATGTAACAAGACATGATAAAAAGATATGTATTAATATCGATACTTGTGTACTTGTAGATATAAGATAGAAAATTTCCAAAATAAATAATGTATCAATTGTGTTTATCTTTCATGGGCTTCATCTTATGTTTGAGAATATGAAAAGCAACGCTGACCCAATGACCTTGATTGCACTGAAGCCACTAGGCCAACGCTGCTCTTTAATCAGAAATAATAAAAGTTAAGGATATTGAGGATAACATTTAGAGTCTATATTTCTAAGTCTAAGTGAAACAGATACTTAGCGCGAAGTCTTGACTCTGAATCTTCCCTTTGAATATTATTTTGCAAAATATAAAATGTGGATGTTATGACTAAGTAATTGGCGTTGAGAAACTTGATAGGTATATTTTGATTTCGCTACCTTTAGATCCGCTAAAGGAAATTAGATTGTAAATGTCAAGGAGAAAATTGGGCGAAGATTTTCTTAGAAATTTCGAATCACTCGTAACTTAAACACAACTTTATTAATAACGTTATTCTTGGGTCTTTGATGTGTACAAAACTGTGATCACTATTCAAGAAAAATATTGGCTATTGAACTAGTTTAAAAAAAATATTTAATTGATACACATATATATTGATATAAGTTATTTATTACGTCTATATATAAAATTAAGTTGCGTTTGTACAACTCGAGAAGGTCTTGATGGATTATGATGGTTTTTGATTTGTCTCCGAATAGAATAACTATTAAAACCATTAAAAGTTGACGAAAATAAATCCAATACAAAATGAACAATGTCAAATGGGTTACATTACTGTCATGTAAGGTCATACGATGTTCTCCGAGTCAGCTAGCATCGTGATAAAAGCTCTATCTGCAATATTGCGTTGATATCCGCTAAAGAGGTTGTCAGGCGGGAAGTGGAAGGAATGATTATCAGTTTCTCGTCTAATGCCAAGACACATCTTGGGTCGCAAAGCCAACGGACTTGAAATGAGCAAGTTTTGAACTAACCAAAACCAAGTCCTGAAGCTTTGACTATTTGATGAAGGAAATATTACAAGGACGACGAATAAGACCGCGTTGTATTCTCGATAAACTTTAGACGTATTCCTGAATTCGATATTCGATGTAAAAATATTTCTTCTTCTTATAATGCCCTCTCCTTGCGAAGGTTTGCGGTCATCATTGCTAGTTTAATTTTGGATGCCGCGCTTCTAAGCAATGACTTGGTGCTTTGGCCAAACTATTGTCTAAGATTTTTCAAGCCGTGCGTCTGCGGCCAGCCCTGCGACTCTGTAACTCACTTTTCAAACTCACACAGCGGTTCTCGCAGCGGCGGTCGCTCTCAAATCAGTCGTGAAGCAGTCATTTTATGATTTGGCATTCTGATAAACAATAAACTACAAGCTCCCATCATTTCAGAATGTGTGTGAGTTCGAAAAGTGAGTTACAGAATCGCAGGGTAGGTCTCCTGCCATCTGCCACTTTGCCTTGTATGATTAGTTGAAGGAGCTCGTATTTTTTAGTGTAACGTAAAACGTGTCCGAAATACTCGAGTTTTCTTAACCGTCATAAACACTTCTTTGTTCTTGTGCAAGCTGTACAGCACGGTTGTATTTAGTATGCGGTAAAAAATAATTGTAAGACTTCGGTAAAGAAGACGGATCACCAAGTTTTTTGTAAACAACTTATTGCAGATTAACAAGATTGGTGGATTACAGTTCTTCAACAAAAAC